CCGTCCCGCTGGCCCTGCGGAAGACCTGGTTGCAAAACTATGTTCCTGGTCCAGATGGCTCCAAGATGGCCCAAGATGCCCTCCAAAACGGCCAAGATGGCCTCCAAAACGGCCCAAGATAGTCCAAGATGGCCTCCGAGACGGCCCAATAGGGTCCGAGATGCCTCCAAGTCCGCTCAAAAGGCCACGAAGACGACCCAAGTTGGCCTCAAGATGGCCCACGACGGCCCAAGAGACTCCCAAGAGGCCTCCAAGACGGCCCAAGAGGCCTCCAAGAGGGCCTCCATCAAGGCCCGAAGAGGCCAAAATCAGTGATTTGCCCCAGGTGTTCGAAGGATGTTGGCATGTGCTTCTTGTCGGCCTTCCGACGGCCCGAGACGGCCCAAGAGCCCCCAAAGATCGCCCCAAGATCGCCCAAGAGGCATCCAAGATGGCCCCAGAACGGCCCAAGAAGCCCCTAAGACGGCCCCAAGGAGCCCCAAGGCGGCTCAAGAGGCTTTCAAGACGCCCAAGATGGCCTCCAAGACGGCCCTGGAGCACCCCAAGAGGGCCCCAAGTCGGCCCAGAGAGGCCCCCAAGACAGCTTCCGACGGCGTCAGACGGGCCAGGAGCCCACCAAGACGCCTCAAGATGGCTCCAAGATGGCCACAGACGGGGCCCAAGAGGCCCCGAAGAGGCCTCCAAGAGGACCTCCAGGAAGGCCCGAAGAGGCCAAAATCAGTGATTCGCCCCAGGTGTTCGAAGGATGTTGGCATGTGCTTCTTGTCGGCCTTCCGACGGCCCGAGACGGCCTAAGAGCCCCCAAAGATCGCCCCAAGATCGCCCAAGAGGCATCCAAGATGACTCCAGAAAGGCCCAAGAGACCCTTGGGGAGGGCCCCAAGGCGGCCCAAGAGGCTTCCAAGACGCCAAACATGGCGTCCAAGACGGCCCTGGACCACGCCAAGAGGGCCCCAGGTTGGCCCAAAGAGGCCCCCGCTTCCGACGGCGTCAGACGGGCCAGGAACACCCTAAGACGGGCAAAGAGGCTCCCGAGAGGCCCCGAAGGCCCCCAAGGGACCCAAGGAGGCCCCCAAGATGCCTCCAAGAGGCTTCCAGAAAGCTCCCAGGAGGCCCAAGGGTGCCCCCAGAGGCTCCCAAGATGCCCCCTCCTTCTCCTCCTCCTCCTCCTCCTCCTCCTCATCATCATCATCATCCTGATCTTCCCCGCCATCCTCCCCAAGGTGCTCCCCGAAGGGTTTCCACAACGGCGGGGGGAACACATGGTCCGATAGCTCGGCACAGCTCTTGCCACAACGCTCGGCCACATGGGCGATTTCAAAAGGCAGGGGGCGGCGCTGATTCGCCGTAGGCGTCTTCGATATCCATAGCCACCGCCTGCCAGGGTCCCCGAAGATTGTTCCCCCACGCGGTGATTATGGATAAACCGCCGCCTCGAACATGTTCGGAAGATGTCCTGCGCGGACCAGTGTGCCTCTCCGCAGCTGATTGTCCACGCAAGCTTCGAGTAGGGGATCAACTACAGAATTGACTTACCCCAACATTGGCTTTCTCGTCGAAGCCATGAAAAATGCCACGCTCTTTTCTACATTCGGAGAGGAGATCAATTCTAGGGTAAATCAATTCATCCCGAGTGTCAGAACATCCCGAGTGTCAGAGCACCCTCCCTGCGCGGCTTTTGGGGGGCCGCGGGGGGACCAACCACAGGCGCGCAAGCCGCTACTATCGCATCGCGCTCGGCGATCGGGGGACCCCACTGGGCCCGCACCAAAGGACACTCCGGCGAAAGGTCACTCTTACGTCGAGTCGATCTCTCCCCCTCTCGGCGGCTCCCAAGGGTGGGGCTTGCCGAGGGCGTGGTTCGCAACCCGCGCCTCGAGGGGGCGGGCGAGGCACTCGACGGAGATCCCCGCCGCCGCCCCGACGAGGGCGCCCCAGCGGCGCAGATCGCAGACCACACGCCCGCGGCAGCCACGCCCTCGGTGGTCGCCGACCCTCGGCCCCCCCTGTCGCCGTGCTGCCTCCCGAGAGGACGGCGGGGGGGGCCGCCGGGGCGCGCCTGAGGTAGAAGCAGGTGCTGAGGAGCAGCAGCGGCACGATCCGCCGCGGCCCAGCGGCCGGGACGGAGTGTCACTCCCCAGCAGTATCCCCTCGAGGAATCAGTAGAGGCTGAGTCCAGACGGAGTGAGCCCAGACGGAGACCGAGCACTCCGTATGGACTTACTCCGTGTAGACCTCGCCCCTCCTGAGGAAAGAGCACTCCCCTGGGCGCCTCTGCGGGCAGCCGCGACGTCCGAGGACGTGCAGGCGGGCAGTGTGGTCCCGCGAGGAGGAGCGGCAGCAGGATTGGGAGCAAAAGGAGGGCATCTCTCCCTGCATCCCCCCTGCTTCTCCCTCCCCTCTCCCCTCCAGCCTCCCCCTCTCCTCTCTTCTCCTATCCCTACTCCCACCTTCATGCTCAGCCCCCGCTTCCACCACGCCGCTTACTCACATGGCCTTCCCTCGACCCTGCCCTACCATAGATCCACGAGCCTTCCGACCAGAAACCAATGCGACGTGCACAACGCGTCTCCCCCACCGAGCACAATGTTCAGGGTGCAAACGAGAGTACAAAAATGAAGCACGCACAGTGGACAACAAGTAGGCATCCCAGCATTCCAGGCGGAAGCACACGTCGACTTCTCTCCACCTTGCAACAAAAAAAAACTCGGATGGTGGGTAGGCGTGAGGGCAGCTCTGAATCATGTACCGTACAGTGCGTGGTCCACACCCCCTACCACCACCACCCTTCATCAAAATTCGGCGGCGAGCGAGGGGGGGAAGTGAGAGGGGGCGGGCCTTCACAGCAGGCTCGGAAGTCCCCCGGCCTTCGGAAAAGCTTCCTTAGCCTTCCTCGAAGACACAGAAAACTGCTCAGAAGGCGCGAGAGCTTCTGAGAAGCTCCGCCGCCTTCTGAGGAGGCCGTCTCCTTCTCACTTCCCCCCCTCGCTCGCCGCCGAACCACCACCCTTCATCAAAACAATACACAGGGTGCACATCGCACTCCTCCCATTCGACAGCATGTTGCCAGGCTGTAGAAGAGGGCGCGCTGCGGACGCACACACGCCAGACACCGCGTGGACGATCTCGAAGACCATGGACCAAAAACGTTGGGAACTTCGGCGGCGAGCAAGGGGGAAGATGAGATGGAGAAGACCTTCTCAGAAGGCGGCGGGACTTTTCAGAAGCCCGCGCCTTCTGAGAAGGTTTGTTTCTATCTCCGGGGAAGGCTTAGAAAACTTCTCAGAAGGCCGGGGGACTTCTGAACCTTCTGAGAAGGCCTTTTCCTTCTCACTTCCCCTCTCGCTCGCCGCCAAGAACTCTCTGGGGCGCAACTTCTGCTTCCACCGGCTTCTGCTGGTCTCCCGCCGGCTTCCACCACCCTCCGCCGAGGAAGAGATGCTACCTCCTTCGACACTCGAAGGCGATGCCCTTTCTGGAACGCCCTTGTGCACAATTCCGACAAAAAAACAACAACACAACAACGAAGCACCTCACGAATCCCGCAGCAGCAACCACAAATACAACCCAGCAGCAATCAGACAGAAACAAAGCAAAAACGGCGTCGAAGCCCGCGCGAGGGCGCCCGCGCTGCGTGTGCGCCGCCGACCACCTGCGTTGGGTGGCGTTGTCCGCCTGCAATAATGATAATAAGAATGGTAAGAATGATGATGCTGATACTGATGACGATGATGATGATTATGGTGATAATGATGATGATGATGATGATGATGATGATGATCATCATCATCATCATCATCATCATCATCATCATCATCATCATCATCATCATCATCATCATCATCATCATCATCATCATCATCAGCATCATCATTGTACGACATTATCAGAATCATCATCATCATCATAATAATAATCATCATCATCATCATCATCATCATTGTGCGACATCCTAATCATCAGCATCATCATCAGCATCATCATCACTTAAACGTAGCACCGCTGCTGCGCGTGAGCTCTGGGAGCGAGGCGGAGCGGAACGCTCGCACGGGCAAGTGGCCCAGGCCTCCTTCGGCGTGCGGAGCGGGCGTGGCCGTGGCCTCGCAGGAACGGCTGGGAGCATCGGCAGCCCGCTCGGGATGCCAGCGTCGCTGGGATTCTAGAGGGCTGAAAATCCACCCCGATGATAACCACCCCGACACGCGAAGCCGTTTAGTAGACGCGCCCAAAGAAGGAATCAAACAGGGCGGGGCTGTTTAGTAAACGCCTAAGGCCATTTAGTTAACGCCAATTGTCCGGTCCGGGTGGTTTTTCCTCCCTTGAGGGATGCTGGACGACGTGTACAGTGGAGACCAGTCCACAAGAAACCATTCCACAAGAAACCCAGCCCTCAGACCCCAGGACGTCCATGGATTTTTGGTGGGAACGGCACGCTTTCCATCGCGAAACCATCAAAACCCAAGAAACCCAGGGCACCCTGGAGGCAGGCAGGCTGTTTCTTGGCATGGGCCTCCACTGTAGATGACGAAGACTTTTCGCCATCCATCCCACTCATCCGTGATAGCCTGCCGTGGCCACATGGCGTCGTCGAGGTCGCAGTGGTTGCGCCATGCCCAGTGCGCCCGAGTGAGCGGAGCAGCTGGTAGACTTCCTTCGAGAAGCAGCAGCAGCCAGAGCATCAGGACTTACCTCGAAGGAGTTTCGGAGGTCCGCGCGGACCTCCGAAAGTGTAGGTTATCATGGTCGGTCGCCGTGATTTCCTCTTCGTCTTCTTTATCCCAGTGGCAGAAGCGCAAAGCGAACTTTTTATAATCATTAGCTTTCGTATTGTTTGTATTACTAATATCATTATTCGGTTATCGCTGTAACAGATCACACCCACAATCATATTCGGTCATCATCGCTATCATTCGTACTACCATCACCAGTTACCGTTACCATAGGTCATCATTCATCCAATGCGTCTTCGCTTATTCTAGTCGACGTCGCGTCTTCGTGAACTTGCAGAGCGGCGCGGCAGCGTTTCCCGATGACCACGGCGGCCATGCCGCGCATGTCGAACGCGTCCACCAGCGAGATGACCAGCTCCCAGTTCGACCAGCCCACTGCCCAGCCTGTTTGGCGCCCCTCCCCTGTTTCACCCCCCCCCCTTCTTCCGGATGTGCCATCAGAGGGCTGGAGAATCTCCATTGTCGACCGCGAGGTAAGGTTCAGCAACGCACCCAGGGGGAAGCAGAGGGGACCAGCCTACTCGGAGGGCTCAGAGGGCCTACCACATACTGAGAACGTCTGAGTTTTCTCCCAAATCTCACCGCCGTGTGGGCGTTTTTCCCTACCAACCTGTTGTTGGGTTTTCGTTTTGAAGACCGCCCCCGCGTTTCCCTCCTTTCCTCCTCCTCCTCCCCCTCCTCCCTCCTCCCATCCCTGCCTCTGCCCCCCGCATATCCTCGTCGTCGACGTCGTCATCACAATCACCCAACAGTGCGCTTCGTGGCACCATAGGGAGCTCCACCTAAGCGCCCACTGGTGGTGTCCACATGCGCCTCCGCCAGCAAGCACAGCGCTTCGTGATCCCCTGGGGAGCTCCACATAAGGCCTCAGCGGCGGCGTCCACATGCCTCTCCCCCAGCAAGCACAACGCTTCGTGGCCCCATGGGGAGCTACACCTGAGGCCCCAGTCGCGGTGTCCACATGCGCTTCCCCCACCCAGCAGGGCGCTGCGCGGCCCCATTGGGAGTTCCACCAGTCTTTTGCCTGAACATTCGTTATCCCTGCATTATGTCCCGATGATGTCCCATAGTCAGCGGGCTTCGCAGAAGACATGGGCAAGAAAGAATAATACAGTTAAGCAAGCAACAGACGCAACCCGGAAGGGAGGAGGCCGGCCGGCCGACGACACGACGACGACGAGGGAACGACCCCTAGGCGCGCGCGCGCAAGCCAGCACGCCCCTTTTCTGTCGCACCTGAACCAAACAGCTTCAGATAGCGTTCGAGTCAAGAAGAGAAGCAAACAGCGCAAACAAAGCAAGTGTGGTGAGAAGGGCAGGAACCAGGTGGTGCGAAGGGGAACATTGACTCCCCCCGCGGCGGGATGCGTAGAGTCGCCCCGACCCGTACCCACCAGGCCTGCACAGATGTACAACCCCTGGAGCGAACCTCAAAAGAAAAGTTTTACCGATCGACGGTGGGTGCCCGGTGGCAAAAGGCCGGAGAAGCTCGACGTTTCCCGCCTGAGTTACTATTCTCAGTTCAAGTCTCAATGCCCGTGCACACCTGGTGCATCCACTCCACGAAGTAGCACGATTCAGCTCCGACTGTATCGTGCCGAATCCTGTCATATTCATCGTCATCTTCTCCAACGGTCTCTTGAATCCCAAGAGTTCTCCCATTGCCAATCTCTTCTTGTGCTCCAGTCGCTTGATGGACTCCACTCATATTGTTCAGTCTTGCCCCGGCCCTTCTCCGACGGGCTCGCCTCCGGCGCAGGCGGAGGCGCGGGCACTCGCAAATTTCTCGATGATCCAGAAGATCGGCGAAACTTATCATTGCAGTCATCTAGCTCAGACCATTGCCACGTTTCGCTGCGGCCCGCAACTGTCTGATGTCGAGAAACATGTACATAATATCCTTGAATGTCTCCAGTTTCACTTTTGGTCTCCCTGTCGATGGTCGCGTCCCAGACGCCGTCCGTGGGCGGCCCGGCGCCATGGCCATCGCGGGAAGATCCGCCACCCAGCTCAACCGCCGGTGTTTGTGGTGTATATCTCTCAATCCTAGGTTTATCAGCCCAGGATCGAACTCTGCCCGCGTCAACCCATCCAGTCTCGCGGCCTGGCGCGGCTGCGCCGGCAGACGCAGACGGGCATGGAGAGGCACGATAAGATGTCCTCCCCCATTGCCTCGTCTCTCTCGGAGGTGGCCGAGGACGGCGCCTAGCTCGCTGCGTGGCGACATTGTCAGCAACGGGAGTCAAGCCACCCACCGGTGACTCAGCGTGAGCGGTCTCAGTGGGAGAAGCGGCGGCGCCGCTTTCCGCTCTCGCCCTGTAAAGGAGATTGATAATTCCGACAGCGCCGTCAGCAATGAAACCTCCAAAAAGGTCAGTAGCAATACATATTTTGGCGCTTTGTGGTTGATCCGTCAACGTACTAATGAAGACGACAGCTTCATGCACACTGGCACAATTGTCTCGCACGGACTTGGAAACCTCAGTTCCAAAGCAACCAAGCCATTCATCAAGCAGATCGAATGCTTCGATTGCTGATCGGATTCGACAATCCAGAGCATAGGCATCTCCCAGGGATTGATCAGTTTTCGATGCACGCTGGTTTTATACCGGGGAAAAGTAAAAGACATTCCCGCAGACATGAATAAGAATATCATCTCGCGTACATCCAAAAGAACTCTCCCCCACCTTCCGTGAAACGGGGATACAGTAGAATGGCTGATCCCAAAAATTGTCTATAAGCTCTCCCAGTCCTGGAGGTACTTCGTGCATCACCTCTGAATCAAATTGCTTCGCATTCTGATCAATCGTTAGCTACTCAAGAACAAATTGCGCTGCTACTTTGATGACCTCCAACCTGTCGCACGTGTTGTTGTCATGTTGGGAACCACCCACACAGTCCGAGATGGAGAATAAATCAAGCCAGAAGTGCAGATCCCTATCTGCAAGAGTCATGTCGTGACGCTGTGCAATGTATGCGTTGGGAGCACCACTCGACACTTCAGCATTCTTCTCGCGCTGCGAAATCGCGTCATCGTCGCGGCTTGGCCGGTGGCAAATATCAACAACAACTTAAAGTCAATATCTCCAAAGGTGGTGACTGCGAACGCTTGGTTCGCAGCTCTAGAATTGTCGGTTAATATTTGTAGCGTTGGGATAACAACTCCTCTTTCGATCATATCCTTTTCCCACTGAACCCAGCCCACTACTGGTTGTACAATATCTGCACTAACATGATCCAAATCAAACACAGCAAGCGCAGGACATTTCATAGGGCGAGCATATTGGTCAAGGTCACCTTTGGGCGGCAGCGGGGCGATAATTTTCCCCATGCGCGTGTATCAACCAGTTAAGAAATCTAAGCTTCAAGGGTTCAAGGTACTGAAAGAAAGGTTCATGTCGCGCCGGCGGCTGTGCCGAGGCGCTGCTGGAGCACCACGAAGGAACAGTTCCTGGCATTGAAACAACGTATGTTTCCCCAGCCCATGCCATCTTCTCACGGGCTAGATCATCTTGAGCCCATACGCTGTTCCACCATGGTCAGGTTGTCTAAGGCATCCGAAGAGATTTTCTTCATTCCGGGTATCTCCCAATGGGGGTTTCTCCAGACGCGGCTGGAGGCACAAGGAAGCCCCGGCCGCAGACAACGCCTGTTCGGCCGGTTTCTGTAAATAACTTGCTCTGATCTTCAATTTGAATTTCGCCACGACGCGGCAATGCAAAGAACATCCAAAGCCAGCTCTAACAGCGTGGCAGTTGGCACACATGTATCTGCCGCCATCAGTCCACGGTTTCTGCATTGCGCGGTCCATTTCTTCATCAGAGAGAACTGGATTCTTCTACGTTCTCATCCGAGAAAATCCACGTCCTGATTGTATCAGGCGAACTGGCAACCTCCCATACGGACCACTCTTGGGAAAAAGAATAATGTCCACAACATCGCCAGCTCATGATTCGCATCTACCCGACGAATCACCGACAGTTGTACTATCCGAAAAATGTCGTTAAAGCGTGCTTCGCCTGTCGTCACGAGAGCCCCATCGCGACAGATGCGATATCGAAGGCGAGACGATACTCTTCCATTAAAACAATAACAGATGACCAATCCTGATTGTGTGTGGCCTCGATTACCCGAAAATGGGGAGCAATTGTTTGCGGCCACCGTCCGTCAGTTGGCATTCCACCGCCAACAGGAACAGCGCCCTCAGCCTGGTACGCCCCTACAGGTAGAGCGTCGCCATCCTTCCGCTGGCTGAGCCAGTGCGGAATATACTGAGCATGCTCTGACACAAACTCATGCTTTGTTAGCATCAATATAAGAAGATCGTAATCTGGCACCTTGCACAGCCCTTTGTGCTTATTTGGGTATTTGATGATGCCATCTCCAAGAGTCGACTCTTGCATGGCCTCAATGGACGCACTGCGCAACAAATGTCCACGACATCGCGCCATTCCAAACTCACAAGCAAACTCACAAGGAGCATACATGCGCTTAGTGTTGTGAGCAAAGCAAGAATGCCCCTGGCATACACGAAAGAACAGTGGGATGGGCTTAGTAGCCCTTTCAGCTCTGTCTACATTAATGACTTGGGTCCCGTTTTCCTCATCAACGACGGCGTCGCGCGAGGCGTCAGGGTTCAGGAAAGAAAACCATTGATGTTATATTCTGTTTTGTCGAGGAGCATAATATCAGTAGCTCGAACACCGAGAACTTCAATTTCTCCCGATGGCAGCACTGTGAAAGCGTGCATTGCATAGGCAACAGTGGCATGTGAGATTCCATCGTCCGTCATTTTCTGTATGAGATCACCCACATATACCCATCCGCCCGACGATCGGGCGCATTCAGCACAATGTCTTGCCAGGTACACCAAGCTCTCGCCGCGACTCTCGCCTATGGATTCTGCTTGCTTGCGCGACCGGTGACTACACTTCCGCCAGAATTCTGAGCTTCCCAGCATGGCAGTACCACGACTATTCTTCGGGAATTTTGCCTCCGCTTCCTCGGCTGTGCCGGTAGCGTCATTCAGCATTACTCATGGAATAAGTGCACCATGGACCTCCTGTGGAAGAGAGTCTGGTCGGTCATGCGAATCGAATTGCGCCTTCAGAAACTGAAGCGCAGGTTTGAATTCTCCTGGTTCGATTTCACCGAGCATCGCAAATATGGGATCTTGCACCCACCGCGCGACATCCTTGATCGTGCTATAGGAACGCCCACAAGGCCGTCATGCGCGGAAGCACCGGACCAGCCCCGTGGGCTTCCGCAACCTGTTTTCGCACCTCGTCACTCGCTCCCTCTCTGATGTTCGCTCGCTGCTGCGATGCGAGGTGCAATGGGGCTCCGTCAATATACGGCATCGCGCGGCCAACATTCCTGATTCGG